GAAAGGCCACTTGAGTTGGGATGAATCGTCCAGTCTTGAACTGTGTTGCTGAAGGCTGAACAAGATGGCTATGGCTCAAAAGATTGACTCCCCACTGGTGAACTAGTTCAGACCATCATGACATTTTGTTGTTCCGTTTTTACCTGGCTTTTGAGCCATAGCCACATGTGACACTGGGGGGCATTGCTTCAAATTGCTTCCATCATCGCCTAAGATCCTCCGGCCTTCCACTCTCTGCAAAATTCTCGGAGGAAAATCTCGACAGAGGACGAGAAACTGATGCATCAGATGAGGTACTTGAAGTTCAGGAGCTCTAGGGAATCTCATTTCGCTTCGGCACGTAGTTTTCCACCATTCAAATCCTTTCATCCTTTCAGTTTGTCCAGACTCATCACTGCAGGATACCAGTGGCATGGAAGAGCATCTTGGATGTTGTGAGTTGGGTGAATCTGGGGTCTTAGAAAGTGATGCAGATGCTGATTATATGACCATCCAGAGCCAAGGCCCGGTGAAGATGGACCTGCCTTCGGACAAGTTGATACAGACTATGAGGCTCCTGGTGCCAGTGACTTTCTGAATGCCCTGGACAAGCTTGATGATGAGATGCGCGACACGGACGTTGGGGAGGATAGCGAGGGAAACTTTGCTATCCAAGCAGGTAAGGCAGCAAAAACCAAAGAAGTGGAGGATGCGATACAGCCAGAGCAGGAAAGCGAAACTGAGCAGGCCAAGCAAACCGGGGAGGTCAAGCCAGCTGAGGAGGCAAGACAAGCTGAGGATGCCAGGCCAGCCGAGAAGGGCAAACAAGCAGAGAACGCCATGCTACTTGAGACAAAAGCAGGTGAAGAAGCAACACAAGTGAAGGAGAACAGGAAGACCGAGGAAGCACGACAAGCAGAGGAAGCCAATCTGGCTCAGGGGGCCCAGAAAGCAGCTGAGGAGGAGAGGAAAGCTGACGAAGCAAGGCCAGCTGACGAGGCCACGAAAGCTCACGAAACACAACAAGCTAAGGAGGCTAACCTGGCCGAGGAGGCGAGGAAAGCCGAGGAGACAAGATTAGCTGAAGAGGCAAGACAAGCTGAGGAGGAGAGGAAAGCTGAGGAGGCAAGACTAGCTGAAAAAGAAAGGCAGACTGAGGACGAAAAGAAAGCTGAGCAGGCAAGACTAGCTGAAGAGGAAAGACAAGCTGAGGAGGCAAGACAAGCTGAGGAGGCCAGAAAGGCTGAGGAAGCAAGACAAGCCCAGGAGGCCAAGCTGGCTGAAGAGGAAAGACAAGCCGAGGAGGCGAGACTAGCTGAGGAAGCAAGGCTAGCTGAACAAGCCAGGAAAGCTGAGGAGGCAAGACGAGCTGAAGAGGAGAGATTGGCCGAGGAGTCAAGACAAGCTGAAGAGGCCAGAAAAGCGGAGGAAGCAAGACAAGCTGAGGAGGCCAAGCTGGCCGAAGAGAAAAGACAAGCCGAGGAGGCGAGACTAGCTGAGGAAGCAAGACTAGCTGAACAAGCCAGCAAAGCTGAGGAGGCAAGACGAGCTGAAGAGGAGAGATTAGCCGAGCAGGCAAGACAAGCTGAGGTAGCAAGACAAGCTGAGGAGGCAAGGAAAGCCGAGGAGGAAAGACTAGCTGAGGAGGCTAGAAAAGCAGAGGAAGCAAGACAAGCCGAGGAGGCCAAGCTGGCTGAGGAGGCCAAGCTGGCTGAGGAGGCCAAGTTGGCCGAGGAGGCCAGGAAAGCTGAGGAGGCCAAGAGAGCCGAGGAGGCAAGACAAGCTGAGCAGGCCAAGAGAGCTGAGGAAGCTAGACAAGCCGAGGAGGCCAAGAGAGCCGAGGAGGCTAGACAAGCTGAGGAGGCCAAGCTAGCTGAGGTGGAGGTGAGTGTAGAACCTGCCTGCAAAGTTGCCATAAATGCCGCTGACGCTCAGCAGCAAAACAATGACGAAATCTGTGAGGAACCCCAAGACTCAGAGTTTGATGCGGTTCATGAGAAAGACTTTGCCGGACAAGTTGCAGCTGGAGCATCCGCTCCCCTGGTGGCAGAGGACACTGACCTGGGGGGGAGGCACGGCAATCTACTGTAGCTGTTGTGTGCCATGTGAAAGGCTTTGGTTTGAAACGCCCAGAACGGAACAGCACCACTTTTTGCCGCTGTGGAGGCCGGAAACGGCTAGCCCTTCCGAGAAGCCTTCAGAAAGTGAGCTGCAGGAGGCCCGACATGTTTCATATTTCAACAGTCATGGGTGGGTTATGGGTGGGGTATGTGGCCACACATTGGGGAGATGCAAACTGACCATTTGGCAGGAAGAAGAGGAAGAAGTTGATGAAGACTGGGATGAGGTGCTGTACTTGCATCGACCCCACTTGATCTTTGGATTCTTTGGTGATGATTCGTTATTTGACGTCCTATTGAGTTCTACTGTACAGCTGGTGTATTATGATGGGTACAATCCAGGTGTGGAAGAAGTACAAGCTGTTGGACGCTGCTCGTTTGTTGGCTCACAGGAATCCTAAAGACAGGTTTTCTGAACATCTCGCAGACACTCCCAGCGCTGCAGAAATACTTTTCTGAAATGTACACACCCAGTGATCATCTCAATGCAGCAAAGCAGTCTCGAATCATCTCTCTCTCTCTATATATATAATATATATATAATATATAATATATATATAATATATATATATAATATATATATATATATAATATATATATATATATCATCTCCAGAATCATAGACCTCCAACATCCTCCAATCTTACAAGATTCACTGAAACACCTTTGGATCAATACATTCTTTACTTCTTCAATTTTTCAACGTTTTGACATCGAAGTTACGCACTGCTCCGTCGTTTTTGCCGGCGCCGGGCGGAAAGGCTTGGGCTTGCTGTGAGCACGATGGAATGAGGGTCGCTCCGCTTCCTTCCCCCGACCCAGTGGTACCTCCCCAGCCCGGCCGCACAGCTTTCCGGGATTGGATTCCCCAGTGAAGTTCTGGCCCTGCTGATGGGGGAGAAGTATCAAGACATACCAAGATATAATAAGATATAATAAGATATAATAAGATATATATATATATATTTATAAACTCATTTAAATATGAAGATGTACGAAGATATATCAAGATGTACCAAGATGTAATTCCCAACAGCAGGGCCTGTTGGGTTTCAATCTCTAGGGCTGGGGCTGGCTCGCGGGGACTTGCAGCCTTCAAAATCCGGAATGGAACCCTGGAACCCTGGAACCCTGGAACTCTGGAACCCTGGAACCCTGGAACCCTGAAACCTTGGAACCCCGGAACCCTGGAACCCTGGAACCCTGGAACCCTGAAACCTTGGAACCCCGGAACCCTGGAACCCTGGAACCCTGGAACCCTGAAACCTTGGAACCCCGGAACCCTGGAACCCTGGAACCCTGGAACCCTGAAACCTTGGAACCCCGGAACCCTGGAACCCTGGAACCCCGGAACCCTGGAACCCTGAACCCTGGAACCTTGGAACCCTGCGACCGTGGAACCCTGAAACCTTGGAACCTTGGCACCCTGGAACCCTCAAGGATTCTGGAACCCTGCAACCTTGGAACCCTGGAACCTTGGAACCCTGCAACCCTGCACACCTGGCACCCTGCTGGGATCCTGGAACCCTGAAACCCTGGAACCCTTGGAACCCTTGGAACCCTGGAACCCTTGGAACCCTGGAAACCTTGGAACCCTGAAACCGTGGGACCCTGGTACCCTGGAACCCTGGAACCCTGAAACCTTGGAACCCCGGAACCCTGGAACCCTGGAACCCGGAACCCTGGAACCCTGAAACCTTGGAACCCTGCGACCGTGGAACCCTGAAACCTTGGAACCTTGGCACCCAGGAACCCTCAAGGATTCTGGAACCCTGCTACCTTGGAACCCTGGAACCTTGGAACCCTGCAACCCTGCACACCTGGCACCCTGCTGGGATCCTGGAACCCTGAAACCCTGGAACCCTTGGAACCCTTGGAACCCTTGGAACCCTTGGAACCCTTGGAACCCTGGAAACCTTGGAACCCTGAAACCGTGGGACCCTGGTACCCTGGAACCTTGGAACCCTGAAACCCTAAAACTTCCAAACCCTAAACTCTATGCGCGCTGCGCGCGCTGCATGCAATAAAGTAACCCCTAAAACTTCCAAACCCTAAACCCTAATGCGCGGTGCGCGCGCTGTGTCCCAGAGAAGTAAACCCTAAAATTTCCAAACCCTAAACCATCGTGTTATGCAACTTCCAAACCCTAAAGTTTAACCCGCGGTGTGCGCCTGCATGCAATAAAATAAACCCTAAAACTTCCAAACCCTAAACCCTAATGCGTGCTGTGCGCGCTGCGTGCCAGAGATAAACCCTAAAACCTTCAAACCCTAAACACTAATGCGCGCTGCGCGCGCTTTGTGCAATAGAAATAAACCCTAAAATCTTCAAACCTGAAACTCTCGTGTCATAGAGGTAAACCCTAAAATTTCCAAACCCTAAACCCTAAACCCTAACGCGCGCTGCGCGCGCTGTGTGCCATAGAAGTACCCCTTAAAATCTCCAAACCCTAAACCATCGTGTCATGGAGGTTAACCCTAAAACTTCGAAACCCTAAAGTTCAACCCACGCTGTGCACGCTGCATGCAATAAAATAAACTATAAAACTTCCAAACCCTAAACCCTAATGCGCGCTGCGCGCACTGCGTGCCACACACATAAACCCTAAAACTTTCAAACTTTAAACCGTAACGCGTACTGCGCGCACAGCCTGCCATAGAGGTAAACGGTTAAACTTTCAAACGCTGCGTGCCATAGAGGCAAAGCCTAAAACTTTCAAACGCTAAACCGTAAAGCAGGCTGCGCGCGCTGCGTGCCATAGAGTGCTCCTCAAAAGTGATTACATGTCATACTTTAGTGGCATCCTCCAAATTCATTAGTCAGCCTTTGTTAATCCAGGGCCCATTTTACACATGTCATCTTCTTGGTCGTGGCGCCATTTCAGGATCACACTGATGACCTAAGCTTTGGCCTTAACTATTATGCAGGCAAGCGACATCAGCACGCTATGGTATTGGAAGACACAGGGTTTGCCCGTAGACCAGCCAAAAAATCGATTTTCCACACTGAACAATTGGATTTAACACATTTAGAATAGGAGCTCCGCCTGATTCAGATTTCATCACTTAAAAGGTACCCATGCCTGACTAGCCTTCATGACTTAAAGCGTAACCACACCCGACTTAAGGGAACCATGCCTGACTAGCCTTCATAATTAAGAGGTACCCACCCACGCCTGACTTAACAGAACCCATGCCTGACTAGCCTTCATAATTAAAAGGTACCCATGCCCCTGAATTCAGGGAACCATGCCTGACTAGCCTTCACAATTAAAAGGTACCCACTGGAACCATGCCTGACTAGCCTTAATGACTTAAAAGGTAACTACACCTGACTTAATACCTGATTTACTGGTTTTGCCTGATTTTGGAAAAACGCAGGGCCGGAATTTGCAGGGCGCGGGCCGGAATTTGCCGGGCCCAGGCCGGAATTTGCCGGGCTGGGATTTTGGGGTCGTGCCTAAATAGGATTTTTGCAAAAATCGTGCATGACTGAAGGGAACCATGCCTGACTAAACATCATACCAATCATCCCAAAAGAATCCAATAATTCCAGCAAGTGATGCCTGACCAATCCCTGCGTCATAATAAACCGTCTGCCCCTCCCCACCCAATAATGAACACACGGAATAGTTTTTTGTATTTAGTGGGTATTTAGTATGAGGGTGCGAAACTTCCCCCTTGGTTAAAAAAAACTAAATTGGAAAACATTTTTTAAATAACATCTAACTAAAATATTGCCAAAATTGGATTCCGAAGCTTCCCCCTGACATTAAATTGAAAACATTCGTTTTAAAAAATGAACTTTATATTTCAAAACCGATTGAATTCCTATTCAAAATCTAACTCAAATCTTGCCAAATTGGATTTCGAAGCTTCCCCTTATATTAAATTGAAAACCTTACTAATCCCCACCTCCTTTTACTAAACGTACCCTAAATACTAAAATATTACATTGATTCCTTTTACTAGGGTCCGCGTTAAATTTTGGGAAATTTCAGGCTGGCCAGTTTGACTTTTAATTGATACCTTTTCAAAAACAAATTAAACATGAAGGTCCCATTTCAGGATTTCACCACCAAAAAATAAAAACTAGTCAGCCCCGGTGTTTTTTTAAACTAGGGTCTTTTAAGGTCGAAAAAATAAGTATTTTATATTACAACGTTTATATAATATTGGGGGAAAACTTCGAAATCCACTTTTTGGCATTTCCTGGCAATATTTTTGCTGGATGTCAAAAGGAAATCTAATCGATTCTTGAAATCGAAAAAACATAGTTTTTTTTATTAGTGTTTTTAATTTAATCTTAGGGGAAAACTTCGAAATCCAATTTTTAGCAATATCTTAATTATATGTTAAACAGAAAACTAATCGATTTTGAAACAGTTTTTTTTTAAATATATTAGGGCTGGTAATTTAATATTAGAGGAAACATTTCGAAATCCGGTTTTTGTTTTTATTTTTGTTACTACAATTTAAAAGGAAATCGAATCGATTTCAAAAAAGAAAAAATAATATTTTATATTAGGGTTTTTTAATGTAATATTAGGGGAAAACTTCAAAATCCAATTTTTGACCATATTCTAATTAGATTTCAAAAGGAAATCTAATGAATTTTGATATAGAAAAAATAGTCTTTGATATGAGGGTTTAATATGAGGGGAAAGCTTCGAAATCCAATTTCTGGCAATATCTTAATTTGAATTTACAAGGAAATCTAATCGATTCTGAAATAGAACAAATTTAGTTTTTTATATTGGAATTTTTCATGCAAGATTAGGGGAAGCATCGAAATCCAATTTTTGAACATATTTTAATAATTGGATTTTAATTTGATATTAGGGGAAAGCTTCAAAATCAATTTTTTGTTTTTTTCATTAGATTTCAAAAGGAAATCTAATCGATTTTGAAACAGGAAAAAAAACAAAATGATATTAGGGTTTAATATAAGGGAAAAGCTTCGACATCCAATTTTTTGGCCATATTTTATTTAATTTTTAAAAGGAAATCTAATCGATTTCGAAATAGAAAAACATACATAGTTTTTTATGTTGGGGGTTTTTATTTGATATTAAGCTTCGGAATCCACTTGTTTGCCATATTTTAATTGGATTTAAAAAGAAAGAAATCTGATCGATTTTGAAATAGAAATATGTGTATATATATATATATGTGTGTGTGTTTTTTATCAGTATTAGGGGGAAGCTTCGTACCCTAATACTAAAGACCCCCCCAATACTAAAAACTCCTCCAGGTGTTTGTTATTTGGGTGGGTGGGTGAAGGGGCGACTGTTTAGCAACAGGGGGAAGGGATTAAACCGTTTTTTGTTTCTAATTTCAAAATCCATGAAAATAATCTTTAAATAGAATACTGCCAAGAATAGGATTTCGAAGCTTTCGCC